CCTGCTGCGCTCTCACCTCTTTTCTCCCCACTGTGTCAACAACTTGAAGAGCTCTCTATTGACCTTCTGACTTCTGGAGCCAGCTGCCAACTGGACATGTAGAGAGGGAATGCAGGAAATGGCAAGTTCTTGTGAACTCCAATTCCCTTACCCACCTAGGAATGTTGCTGCACATTACTAGGATGAAACTTACTGTGGCAATGGCTCGGCCCACACGAACAACTCCAAAATCATTGGGATCCAGGAACTTGTTGCCATACAGATAGATGCCTGAAGAGGCTGCCACCAGCGAGGCAAGCTTCAAGGCCCTTCGTGCCATGACTGATGAGCCCTGCCGAGACACAAAACAGCAACTGTAACATCTGAGAAAGACGCAGTGATCGGATGCCTACAGCCCCAAGGGACCCGACAATCCAAGTTTTAATTGCTCCTTTGCTAATGATGTGTTGCTAGTGCCACCCTCAGCCAAGAGCTCAAGTGACCAGCAACAAAATACACTCTGACTCCACTCAACAGTGTCTACGGACCACAAACCAAGAAGTAACTCTCTGTGAAAGACCTTGGGCACTCAAACAAAACATTTGTTCATGGTCCCAAAGACTTTACAAGTAGAAGCAACAGGAGGACAGAGACAAGGGAGCATGCGCTCACCAAAAGTCAATTCTGATCACAGCAACAGGCTGCTTCTTCACAGCAAATCTTTTGAAGATATCATGCGTAGGTTGACTGCAAAGGGATAACAGAAGATACAAACGAGGGTTTAAAAAGAGCTCTTGTAACACCAAGAGCACCCAAAACCTGCTGGAAACTGTGCCGGACAATTGTGAAAGTGCCTCATTGCTGATGAGTGGTGGAAGAAGAGGTGATGCATACCTGGAGGCTGCGTGCAACTCCACTGCCCGGTGGCAGACAGCCATATACAAAGCAGGGGATGGGGGACCTGATCAGAGTGACCAAGCAAGTCTTTTCTCATCATCACTCTCCCATTCAAGCACCAGGCAGGGACTGCAGTGGCAGAACGGACATACCTCTGCAAGAATCAACAGGCTAATCCTGGCTCTGTCAGAGGCCCAGCACAGGCCTGGGGTGTGGCACCTCTCTTACTTTTTCTCTGGAAGAGGAGGGTGGGGAATGAATGCATGTTCTGCAGTAAGCACTTTGCAGCCCTGCACTTATTGCTGATAGTATATAAAGTAAACATGCAACTCATTACATGTGATATACATATTATGATTATGTCACTTTAGAGGATTCAGACCTGGAAAAAAATTACAAATTAGTTTGGTTTTTTTTCCCTTTCCCTTTGGTTGGTATTGGGTAGAAAATATGACTGACCATTCTTTTGGCTGACACCACGCATCAAGAGGCATGGTTCATCTACTCTGCAAGCGCTCAGGAGCACCCCTGACAGAGCGCAGGCTTCTACCCCATCAAGATGGGATCCACAAATCCTTCTAGGCTTAGACTTGATTTAGAAACTTTCCTACTTCTCCCTTTGAACCTTTAGCAGGGTCAGTCTGGCTCATGCCTTTTCTCTTGGAAGCCTTGTAACCAAAAAACACACGCAGTGACACAGGTCAAGACTTTCAAAAACAGTTGTCAGAACACAATCAGCGAAATAGACTAATATAACACAAAAGACCTCTGTACATGAACCTTAGCTAAACTTCATTATTTCTTTTTATTTCCTTACAAGCCCTAGGTAACTCTGAGGCAGAAAAGCCGAGATATATTCTGCAAGTGCCAGTCAGAGCTGCCTGCAGCACCTCATTTTTTTCTCCTGTCAAAAGGGGTAGCGGGCTGATCAGGACTTCTCTGAACTCACAATCAAACTCAAGAGAAAATAAACCTGGTCCCTTGACTGCAGCCAAATGAACACATTTCCCAAAAAAAGCTGCCCTCCTCCCCCTGCCTCACTGAAATTCTAGAAATTTTGAGGCTTCTTCCAGGAGGCCTGATCTTTTCTGTAGAGAAATCTCTCATATCCTCTGTCACCTTCAAAAAAACATTTTCTGCAAAGTGCTTTAATTAAACCATTTCTGCTCCTTGTACATTTTTGTAAAATTTCATTTATTGGAAAGTGAAAGTTGCAAACAGTGACATTTTTTTAACACAGAAAATATGCCTCTCTCTTTCATTATTTTTTCCTTCACTTTTTTATTACTAAAAGAGCATTTGCTTGAAAGCAGGATGCAAGTCCATCTGTTCTTGCATCTTATTCTTGCCTGAAGCTATAATCTACAGTTCGTGACATCACATCTATTGCCATACCTGCCAGCTGTACGTCACGAACAGAAGATGGGAACATTAGGTAACAAACAAACAGCCAGAGCAGCTGAGTCTTCAGCAGCAAAGTTCCCTTCATGCTTCACGCGTCGTACCAATAAAAAGGGAAGAATTAAAATCCCTCCAATCTAAAGTACAGAAATGGAACTGGCAGAAATCAATTGTGTTTCAAAGTTTTGCACAAGGTGTCAAGGAGCCTTTTCCATGTAAATGAGCCATTACCAGACCCCCAGGGGCATCTCGGGGGCCCTGGCAGCTGTGAAACACACCTCACGATGTCACTGCCTCTCCCCATTCGGGCCTGCGC